TTTAAAAGACATGTAGATGAGGCGCTTAGGGACATGGTTCAGTGGGCATGGTGGTGGTGGGGCGATGGGTGGGCTCGATGATCTTAGAGGTCTTTTCCAACCTCAATGATTCTATGATTCTACTGAATAAGCTTTATCTCGTGGCGAGGTGCAACCCTATGTATTTTAAACATGCTCGTGTCTCCTTACACTCTCAGGTAGGATTCACCTCTTCACGTTACATTAATTGCAGTTGTACTGATGTGAAACCGGCCTGCTGAGTCAGGGCCTCTTTCCACTGCATACGAGCACAATGAGAGAAGACATCTATTTATTTTAATTCACAGAGCAGGAGTATGAAGGCTCTCTGGGAAGCCCTGCACAGAGACCAAACGGTGTTTAAGAGCTGGCATCTCTTGGGATTTTTTTGTGCAGCCATATCCCTTCTCCAGCCCCAATGACACATTCATTTCCCATGAGAGTGAAGGTAACTTACACCAGACAGGATCAGTCATCACCTTAGCATTTTTGAACCATCTGACTTGGAAATCAGATACACTAATGTGATCTGGAGCTCAAGGCTTCTGAAAGGCAGCGATAGAACCTTACCAAGTCACCACGTTTTCTTCATTAACAAATAAACTGCCAAGTTTAAAAGTTATAATTAACTCTTTGCCCATAATTTTATGGATAGCAAATGAAATCGCAGCTGAGACACATTGCTGCAAAACGTTTTGTCCTCAAACTGGAAATTTCTCAGCCACTGATAGAAAGGGTTGCACAATGCAAGGTTTGAATTGCCCATCTACTGCCATTGGAAGGGAGGAGATTTATTTCCATCTTAAAAATAATAGTAGTTATCACTATTAAGTGCCCACTCCCTGAGAAAGCTGCTGACCTACCTCACAGTGATAACATTCCACATGGTAATCCTTGTCCATGGACACAACCCGAATGGTCTCATCAGACCCCTGTAAGCATTCAAGCAAAGAGAAATTACAAAGGATTACAGCAGGATCAGACACATGCACTCTGTAGATTGCTTCCTGCAACAACGTGAATGTTTAACAAATGCATTTGAGCTGCTTGCTGGCCACCACAAATAAATCCTGCCACCTGCAGTTATTTTTACAGTAAAGCTTCATCATCGACTGCAGATATCCTCTACAATGTAACATCAGAAATGTTAAATTCTCTCTGTTTAACAGTCACATCTATCCCAAATCAGGCTGTTAATGATTTGGTAATTTCAATATATCACATTTCTCAGCATTTTAAATTGGTTTTGACCAAAATTCATCTCCTTCAAGTATTAAAATGAGTTCATCCCAGAGGGGTCACACAGAGCTCACTCATGAGCACCACCAGCATTTACTGACATGAAGGAAAGGTACCTCGAACATAAACCTAACAGCAGTATAATCCTGCAGGAGATGAAAAAAGCAGCCTGGCTCAGCAGAAATAAGCTTCATTATCACGAAAAAGAAGGGTCACATCTCAAGGGCAGTGTATGAACCTGGGTCAAAAGGTTGCACGCTGGAGGAAGCGATCATCTCTCCCCATCCCCAAGGACATTCGTCTTGACATACGGTCAAGCGTGAAAGAGAGCAAGGCCTGAGACATGATGTTCCCTCCCCAGAGGGGATACGAAATAAAAGGCTCTCACCTCAGAGGGCAGAATGGGAAGTCCACACGCTGCACACTTTGGAGCTAAAACTCTGGAAGAGCAATGAGAAAGTGAAGGCAAGTTATAGACCAACATAAAAAGAGAGGCCTGTATGTTCTCAGTGATAAGACGAAAAGCTGCAGCTATAACTAACTTATCCAAAGGAAAGCTTTACATCTCGAGATCATAAATTCATTTTAGGATTGATTGTAAGTAATGCTTGGCACACATTGCTCAGTCAGGAAAAAAGAGATTTTACATTTTACATTTAGTGCCAGAAAAAAACCAAACCTACCGTAGAATTCTTGGCTGCTACCGAGAGATTTGGAAGAGAGAATGAGAAGAAACTGAGCAGGACCCTCCCCAGAAAAACACATTAAAAGAAGTGGCAGCCTTGCACCGGGGCAGGAAACCTCAGGGAAAACACCATGGGACCGTAAGGTTCCCTAAGGCCTTATAACACAACATAACGTGATAAGTAAATAATTAAATGAAATAGCAAGGAAACGTGCATCATTTCAGAACAACAGTGGCACATGGAGGCAACTCTAATCTTGGCACAACACAGAACAGTTCCCGGGGCTGCCTGAGCACCACTTAATACTCTGCCTGCTCAAAAAATGGAGCAAGGAACAAAGCAAGCCAAACAGACACTCAAAATGTATGCACTCTAATATCATAACTACCAGCTAAGAGCACAGCCATTTTATTTTACTAAATTACAAGTGGGTTTTTAAGTGGATTTATCAGTTGTTTAATTTAGAGCTGGATAAAAGTTTCACTTTGATTTCTAAAAGCATTCTTTAAAAGTCAAACTCAGCCCTGCAACTACTCAAAAAGCAACTCACCTTGATTTCAACAGGCATTCACAGTCTTACTTTAGAGTGGACTGACTTCTTACATCACTGAACACTTCATGAGCACTATTTCTCACTATCTCTGCTTTGCAGAAGGGGCAGCTGAAGCCAAGGGGTTAAGTGACTTCCTCAGAGTTACACAGGAAGTCAATGGCAGGGCAAGAGGAGAGACATCAGGAATTTCTAGGGTCCAGCCCCATCCTCAAACTTCTACCTTCTAATCCTGTCCCTATTTTACTAATCCATGCTTCCTAATTAGCTGAAAAGCTAAATTAGAGGCTTGTTGATTGGAGTATCTCTGTTGTTTATTTTGTCCTTACTTGTGGTAATCTCTGACACAGTAGATTTTGTTTTCAGAGTCTACAGTGAATGGCACTCCATCCAGACACTCGTTGCAGACCACGCATCGGAAGCAGCCTGGATGATATGATTTCCCTAGAGCCTGCAGGATCTGCAACAAACCAAGAGACAGGAAAAAAACATGTGAACAGGCAATAAAGGTGAAAATAATAAACACACAGCTTTACATCAGACAATGCTGCATATTCATCAGCGGGGCTGTGTCTTTTTTCGGGCACCTCATCTGAAAAATGAGTTAACAGGGATGGAAAGGGCAGCTGGAATCAATATATATCACCTGGTTCCAGAGAAATGAATTATTAGCATGGGTGAGAAAACAATTAAGAGTCTCAGTCAGGGTATTTAGCATTACAAAGGATAGAAGTGACAGAATTTAAAGGAAATAAAATAATTTCTGAAGCCAACAGTTGGAGAATTCTTAGCAGGATCACAAGGCAAGACGTACCAGGCCAACAAAAGGAAATACATCTTTATATTCTCCATGAGAGGCTGAAACAAATACTATTGCTAGGTTTTCATAATGCCTTAGATATCCAAGAGCTTTGTACTCGCTAGCCTGGCTTTCTAATTAACACAGACTATGGAAACTGTATTGAACTCAACAGCGGCAATTCACCTGCTGGCTTTGGGGCAGCAATTACTACCCGGAATACCACTTCTGAGTGTAAAATAGCTTTTCCAATTTTAATGCTTTCCAGTGTAAGCAGGCAAGCAAAGATAATTAACGATAAGCACTAGAAAATCTTGGGAGGCGTGCTGTGAACTAACCACTCAGAAATTCCTAACATCTTTGCCTCAGCCGTAGCTCACCAGCTACATGACCATGAATTTGTCTCCCTCTGAATCACCCACAACTGAATGCTGCCCGGTGCTGGTTAAAGGCCAGTTGACTCCCTGAGCTGTGACCGACTCCGTGCAAATCTTGAACGGATGGTGCCTGTTGTAGGCTAATGAGAACTGCCTGCTTCAGCAGGATGTCCACACATCTCCTGAACAGTTTTCAAGGACTCAGACAGATCTGGACTGAGGTCTGGATCACATACTCTGGGTCAAACCTATTCCCCAAGGTATCAGTATCAGCCCAACACCTTCCAGCACCCACAACAAGCAGCAGCTTCATCCTGAAGGTATGTGGGAAGCCACAGCTTGGCTACAGGAAAGACAGGCTCAGCAGAGCCGCACTGATGCCCCACAGCAAGGGAGCACGGCAGAGCCATGGCGCTTCTGAGCAGGAAGCATTCACAGGATTACGAATACACTGTCCAGGGAAGCCTGAAAGGGGATGAAAGAGCTGAAGGCTCTGATTTTCAATTTGCACTGAAAACAGGCAGAGCAAAGTCTCTGCATCACATACAGCAGGGTGCCAGTTTTACTTCCTTGCAAAAATCAACAAAAGGCTTAGTGGATTTTCTTTCTGCCACCAATCTCACACTAGGCAGACTACCAGATGATAACAGACAGTACTGGAAATGAATTTATTTCGCTTTTGATGCATTCTTCTAAAAAGCTGTGGGATTTCTTCTCCTAAAGCAATTATCACTTACCATGTCCATTATCAAATGACCACAAATGAAACACCTGTCAGCTGACTGCTGGAAACCAGAATACTGCAAGGATAAAAAAGAATTGGCTTAAAATTTCACAAGGCTAGTTGAGCATAAACAACAGCATATTATGGGGCGTTATTTGCTTGGCCATTTTCTGTACTCCTTACACAAGCTGAAATTTCCAGTGCTTTTTTCAGTGTATGAAGCCGTGGATGGGTCCCCAGAGGATATTCTATAAAGACATCAAACTTCCACTGTTCAGAAGGCACATGAGTTCCTGTAACTTTCAAGTCCTGAATTTAAGTTTAATTAAGTATATAAGTAAATACCATAAATGCACATGCAAATAAGGCATTTACTAATAAGACTTACATTCTTATTTGACCATGTGGACCTACACGCCAGGAACTTACTTGTGTTTATCACAAATTCATATCACATCATCTGTATATACAGGCTCAGAAAGCCAAATTCTTCCTTTGGTTACACCGTTATAGGTCTACTGGAGCTCCTCCGAGGTCAGTGGTATTGTCCCAGCCCTCTGGTAATATAACATTCAAGTTTGGCCCAGAGCACCTTTCTTGCTGCTATTGCTAAGATCTAATGGTAAGAAACTGCCTGTCATGTCCACAGCATGCACAAGACATCATCTGTCTAAGGTTTCAGTCCTGTCTGAATGGTGGAAATGCAAACTGGAAAAATGAAATATTTTAGATGCATTTAACCAATCTTTCCATTTTCACCCTGCGTAGAATATACTGATGAGAGCAAAGAAGATTAACTCACTTCTCTCTGACAGAAATCACTAGACTTCCCCAATAAATAGACAAATACGACTTTTTCAAGTCTCAATGAAGGCTTAATCTATGAGGGCTTGAGGGCAGGGGGGTATATGGCTTTTTACCTCCACCAGCCAAGGCGAGGACCATGGGGTTGCTTCATGCTCAGGTACGTTCACACAAAATCCACTGAGGGCAATGGAAAGATATCCATTAAGACGCCCAAGCAAAACAAGTTTGTTGGAAAGGGAAATACACTCAGTGATTCTTCTGCAGCCATTCATCTCGCTCCTGTCTCCACAGCATGGCCACAAAGATACACTTCGAAGGAGCCATCGCAAGAGGCCATGGCTTCCACTTCAGGCTCTGCACTGCAAAACCATGGCCTTTCACTCGGCTACTTCCAGCACCACATGTGGGTGGCCACCATGGCTGGGGCTGGCCCTGGGTAAAGGGGGAGCAGAAAGGCCAGGCAGGATGCCGGACTAGAGCCGTGTGAAACGTAGGCAAAGTTTCCGGGCAGAAAGGCTGCGCGTCTGCCGGAGAGGCTGAGACGTGCCAGCACAAGGGTCAGCTACGTGCTTACCAGGAAATCTTCTTCACAGAACACCTTGCCATTGACAAAATAAAAGGCTTTTCCTCTCAGCTTTCGACCTGAGGAAAAACCACAGAAAGAAGAGAAAGGTCAGCAGAGAGCAGGGAGAAAATGTGAGCAAAAACTGGCTGCTGAGAAGCGAACAACAACGAGGACATCCAAGCACAGCTGCCGCACAGCCAGAGAAGAGCACCCAACCCCAGCACAGGTCTTCCCAGCCTCCACGACTAACCCCATCCCCTCTTCCACTGGCGGCTGCTGATGAATGCCAATCGCTGGATCCGGACAACAGTCCCACCTCCAGGCAGGAGGAGGTAGCTTTGGAAGCCTGGACCACCTCCTGGCAGATTACAACACAAAATAACCTGGCAAGACCAAGGGTACTCTGACTCGTGCTGGAAAACACCCCAGGAGAGGAGCAAGGAGAAGAACGGGCATGCAGAGGGTGATCCATACTTGACATCATTCCTCAAAATGTCACCTCCCATGCCGTTCCACTAGAAGGTGCCATCAACCAGCAGCTGCCAGATAAGCCACTGCAATACCCGACCACCCGGTCTGCCTCCAGCAGAGTGCAACACAGGAGCGCCGAACACGCTTCTCTCTGCTCCCTACCAGCATATTCATTAATGCAGCTGCCAACAAAAATTTGAAAGCATTTAAAAAAAAAATTTTTTTTTTCAAACCAGAATGTCCTAACAGAGATAAGATGACAAAGTTTTTCCAAGAAAGGACTCTACACATGGGGAAGATTTATATTTACTGCAGCTGTTGTGTTTATGCCTCACATTCGCCGTCTGTTTTCAGTTCCACATAACTATGGCAACACATGCTCACGCTGCCGTCACATCTTCTAAATGCCCTGCCTTCCCCCCGGAGAAAGGGCTGGGTTTTGTTTGTTTATAAAAAGCTGCTCCTACCTCTTTGCAGCCCAGTTTCCCTATTCAGCCAAGGGTTTGAAATGCAGCCTAGCACTGGAGTGGCTCTTCTTGGTCTGCTCCGTCAAGGAGCCCCAAGCACATGCCCGGAGGCAGCACCCGGGGCAGGGGGAGCAGCACTGCCCAGGCACAGCCAGAGCAGGTCCTGCCGCAGGCTGGTTTTGGGGACCTGCCAGGCATTGCTGGAAGGAAATCGGAACCAAGACAACAGGGCCCAAAAGCCTCCTGCTTGATATGCGTGTATAATTAAAAAATGATCATCAGCTGCTAGGTGTATAAACGCAGACAACACACAGGACTGGTCTGGAGCTCACTTCTCGGTGCTTTATGGCATGCACCTACCTGGCAGCCTTCAACGATTAACCACGCTGCTTGCAAAATATTAAGAAAAGAAGGAAACCAAGAAAAACCACTTCAATAAATTAAGAGCTTTACTGTCTCCTGCATACGCCAGAGGGCACTCTCAGGCTGGGAAACAACTCACACTGCTTCTCGGGGAAACAGAGATGCTCCAGTGAAGCTCTAAAGTTTTGCCAGTGAATTCAGCCAGACCAGCATTTCACCGGTAGCCCTTAGTGCCCTGCCCAGGTTTCAGCCAGCAAGGCAGGTGGAGGGCATGGCAGCGTGTTTCTCAAGGAACAAGTCCCGGTTTGCACGTGTAGCAGCTTCGTGGTTAAGCTGCAGGCATTGCTCAGCCACATGTTTCCCGGGTGGCACAGGAGCCAGAAGCATGCCACCCCAGCATGCTCATCATCCCCTGTTCTCCTCTAATTCCTGCTGGGGACAACTGTATTACCCGGAGGCCAGCCCATCTTTGCACCAACGCAGACGTCGGACGGGACACGGAAGAAAACCTGACAAACCTGAAAACATCCCACTCTGATTTCTCTCACCCAGCCTGATGCTTTGCCAGGGTTGCTGACACCAAAACAGGATCCGGAGCCCAAAATAAAAAGTATCTAACCTTGGACGCGTTAGCTTTGTGGCCCATAACCCAGGGTGCGTATTTGTATGATAACCCCTCCTCTGTGCCTGACCATCCACAGGTAAGCCCGGCACGCTCACCAGCAGTCGCAGAGTCCCAGTTTCTGAGGAGGGGAAGGAGAGGCATGGGGATACCTGGGATTTGTAGCACCCTTGTCAACAGTGGTCCTAAGTGAGTTAATAACAAGCCTAATGCAGCAAGAAGTACCCCTGAAAATCTCCCACTGATTTAAATACAGCATTGGGATTTGGCACTCCTAAAAACAAAAAACAAAAAACATTTAACTTTGATTTCAAATTACGTGGTAGCGCGGACTCCAGTTTAGTGCGATGGGGAGGTGCCCAAGTGACTTTCCACCTGTGTGCAATGTCTCTCCTTAAAGACAAGCTGGCAGCAGTGAGGACAAACATACACGTGGAGCCACGCAATGAGACACTTCTTTGGACAATGGCCGGTGCACGAGCAGCAGCCGTCACAGCAGAGGGGATGATGTTTGGATTGCTGCCACCACGTCATTCTTCCATGGTGACAAAACCAGCATTTACCGGCCATTCTGCACCCGGTATATTTTTAACCCTGTGACATTAGCAGGTCAAGATTGATGGCCACAGACCTTCAGAGAAGGTGCCACAGCCAGTGCGCTGTGTCTGGGCTTCTCCTGCAAGCTCATTCAGCAGAGGGATAAACCCCTTTATAAAGGATTTATAATTTGGTTGTTGGCGTTACATGGGCCCATGAAGAAGAGGTGCTGACACCAAGAGCACTTTGAGGGAAAGAGGGGGATGATTTAATTTCTTTAGGGACGAAGTGGTCATTTTGACTATTTTTAGCTCCTCTCCACAACTCTCTTTAAGCCCCTGGCAGAAGTGTAAATGGAAATTTGCCAAATAAGCGAGTAACTAGGTACCCCTGCAGCGACCGTGGGAGCGGTGCCTGCAAACAGAGCCAATTTCTTCCTCTGCTGCTCTCAGCCTCTCCCTGCCCACATCAGGATGGACTTCTCCTCCCACCACCCCTTTGAGATGAGGAAGCATCTCCTCATCGTACACATGGGAAAGCAAGATGCAGGAAAAGCTCACTTCCCCAGGCTGCACTGGGGACCGTCCCGGTGGAGCTGGGAAATGCACGTTCTGGCTGCAGCCACACCAGTAAAACAAACCGTGCTGGGACTGCCCCCCAGCACAGAGCAGGGCAGCAGCAGCTTCCGTCCCTGCGCTGAGCTCCCTGCCACGGGACAGCGCCTTACATTAAACAAGTCCCTCTCAAAAGCGATACTTCTGACTGTGTGCCTGCAGAGGCTGGCACAGGTTTCACTTGAATATGGAGATGCTGTCATAATTTCACTGAAAGGAAGGACTGAGAACTTAAATGGCATATAAGGAATCACATATTGATCACTGCCTACTTTAAACACGCATCACTTTAAATATGCATCATGATGACTACAGAGACGATATTCTTTGATAAACCCAGGAATATAATGTGTGGCTTGCTGCTTTCAGGATCAATTGCTCTACTACATGTCTTAAGCTGCTGGCTCCTGACTGTATTTCACTTTCACTTCACCCTGAATTTAGCTAATCTCTCACCTGAAAAAATTCAGACAATTAAAATTCTTTGGCATTTCAACCCTACCATCTTCATTCATTGTTACAAGATTTCTTGGTCCTCTTCCTGACAGAAGGTTTGAGCCTCATGCTTTTATGTACTGCTCATCCCTAACACATCTGTCTAATCTGTTTAGCTGTGGGACCTTCAGGATGACCTCGAGGTCATTTAAGCACTGATTTCAGAATAATTCAAGCTTAGTCACTAGTGCCTTTGTGCTAAAATAAACACACTTTGCTTAGCAGCTGATAATAGGCATACCACCAGGCTGCACTCCCAGGATGTGGGTGCTTTTGTCCACCGTTTTCTCAAATGACAGCTCTCTCCTTTTGAAGTTCATACAGAGAGGGGTTTACCAGTGACTTGCAACGGCCCAAGGAGTATGTTGGAAGATGCATCATTTGCTTGCTGGGGAGCTGGACTCAACTTTCTCTTTTGAAGTTGCTTTTCCTTTATTTATTAAAAGGACAATGGGGTCACAAACCCATGTTCAAAGACAAGAGATTGCTCTCGATGTATGCAATGGTACAGGGCCATGTCCAGATCCCAGGGCCCTATGGAGATGCATGACCAGGACCCCGCATTGCTGGGGAGGCAGTGTGGACCTCACTTATCACTTATCTAAGCACCATGGAGCTCCCTGCTGTATCTGCACAGCAGATGGGCGAGAATCACTGCAGACTGGCAGCTGCTCCTGGGTCCCTTCCACACTGACAACCCTGGGCCTCTGTCATTACAAAAATCAGTCCTTCTTAGAGTGCCACAGCTGTAAGATAAATTTGGACATGTGATTACTAACGGCAGGTTACATACAAAAGGATTTCAGTTTCCGGATTCACTGGATGTAAGCTCCTGACACACTAGTGGGACAGCAGGCTGGAAACACCATCCGTCTAGCTGCTAAGGATCGAAACAAGCTCCTCCTCAGACCTGGGTGGCTCTGGCCCAAGCTGCAGTCCTTCCCCCAGTTTCCATTTCCCCTATGTAGAAGTATGAGGAGGGTCAGATCAAAGAACCTACTCTGGTCCCTGCAGGCAGCACAACGGGCGCAGGCAGAGCCCAGAGGCCTCAGCTCCCCCGTACCATAGAGAAGTCCCTGCTGCCCACAGTTCAGCAGCACACGAGACCCACTGGTGCCCGGCCAGCACACGCGTTTATGGAGCCCTCCGTGGATACTGACTTTGCTGACAGGCAGTACGGTGTACTACCATGCGCAGCAGACTAGGTTGAGCATCAGAGAGCTCTACTTAATTTCTGCCACCTGTGCTATTTCTGTTGGCCGCCATTAAAGCTGGATGCAGCACTGAGTCTGGCACAGAAGCGTCAATATCTCCAATCCGCTCTTGAACTGGGGCTGCACGGAAGAGTCACTTAGATGCCGGCACATCCTCCAAATCAGGTAAACACAGACTGTAATCAACCGGCAGACACCCCAAGTCAGATCAAAGCCTTGGTGAAACCACGGGCAGAAGGATAAGACGCCTCTTAGAAAAAACTGCGCTAAGACACAGTAGCTCCATTACCATTA